GTACCTCTGGTGCAAATTACTGACCTCTGTCATCATTTTAGGTGGGGGAACTTGCACAATCGGTGGCTGACTAAATACTTTTTTGCCCCACTGTAAATGAGATGGGACCTACTATGTGTAAAAATGGCTGAGAGGCAGAAAATGAGGAAAACAAAATAAAAACAAATGTTTAAACAAATTTAAAACTCATATATTTCCATGCACTTTAACAGAAAATGATTAAATCATATATTAGATAGTTTGATGAACTTCCAATGTAAAGTTTGGGTTATTTGAATAAATTTGTAATGAAGTAATGAAGACCTTGACGAATGCAGCTAAATTAAAGATATGAACCCTTAGTCTTTAGTCTCAAGCTCCTTCGTTCAGGACTTCAGGGCCATCTCAGCATCCTGCCTCCTCTGCTTCTCTTTCCCAAGCCTCTGCTGTAATTTAGCTACTTCCTCATTCAACTGGGACGGGAGGGAAAAGGTAAAGGTACATTTATAAGAGTTTCTACAAGATAATTACATACTGTGATGAGAAAAAAAAAAGCATGTTAACTTTTTATTTTGCATTAGAAATATTAGATATTAAATCTAATGAACAAAATATGAACCTCTATGTTCTCGGCTTCAAGCTTCCTATTTTTGGTCTGCAGCTCCTTCTCACCTCTTTATCTTCTGTTTCTCTCAGCGCGAAGCTCCATGAGTTCAGCCTCTTTTTCTTTTAACTTTTCATGGGAAAGAGAAACAATGAAAATTGACTCATTTAACAGAACAAAACAAATATTAAATATTTAACCTGATTATTTCAGTTTATGTAATTAATGTAAACATCAGTAATGAACTTTAAAAAGACATTAAATAGAGACAGTCATTTCCAGAGAGAAACTGCAGTTAAAATATAATATTTTCGAAAATGTTTATATTTGGAGTCAAATTCAAACCTGAATGCATAAAAGAAGGAAACAGATATAAGGTAATAAGTTAATATAATAATAATAAAAAAACATGAAAATAAAATTACCTCTTTATTGTTGGTCTCCAGCTTTGTTTTCAGGGATTCCACGTCCATCTCAATATCCCTCCTCTTCTGCTTCTCTTTATTAAGTAGACGTTGTAGTTTTGATACTTCCTCATTCAGCTGAGTAAGGAGAAAAAGATTTATGCTGTGGTGGTTTCAGGTTGTTTAATGTTTTCAAAGAAATATTTTAACCACTATCTGCTGTGTGTGTTCTGTCAGTAAGGGTACTCACAATAAAGATTATTGAGAAATTAACAGTTCGAATAATTCTATATACCCTCAAACCCTCAAAAGGAATGAAAAATTCACCTCTTCATTAATTGCCTCAAGTTTCCTCTGTCTGGTCTGTAGCTCCTCCTTATCTCCCAAACACTTATTTTTTTCAACACGAACCTTGAGGACTTCATCCTCTAGCTCTTTGACCTTGGAGAAAAGGAAAACATCAGAGTCATTTTTACTAAAAGGGAAACGCTTCTGTATTGTACTGTGTAAGTCATCTATCTGTTCAGTTAGGGAACATATTTACCAACCAAAATGATGGAATATCTACTCTAGAAACACCTTAACAATTTTAAAAACAAAAAATATGTGGCGAACAGAGAGATAGTCACGTCCAGAGAGAAATTATAACTGGTTGATGAAGTGTGAATTAATACAGAATCAATATAACAGAATATATTGTGAAATGGGCTAATGAAATATTTATTTTCTCACCGCACGGAGCTTCATGACTTCATTAGTTTTGTCTTTTAACTTGGCATTCATGTTGACGCTACGCTATGCTACCAATATTGGCAACAATCTTAGCACTGGCAAGTAGCAAAATGTTGTTGTTTCTATTCCTCTTTTTGAAGGTGGTTGATGGACTCATATAAAAATGTTCAGTGCATAGATATAATTTGATATAAAACTGAATATATGGAAGTAAAAGAAATAAAAGACACTAACCTTTGATTGGCTGTCCTCGAGCTCTGTCTTCAGGGTCTGCAGGTCTTTCTCCAACGATTCATATTTAGAACAAGGTGATTGGACCCTGTGTAAACCTACATTTTCCTCCAACTGAAAAATAAATAAAGAACCATGTTGTTGTATTAAGCTTAAAATGTATTTCTTCTGTGTCTCTAATACCAGGGTCAGCTTGAGATGACATGATTTGTTTTCCTCACTCTGATTTTAACAAAGGCTCAATTGCATAAAATGGCATGTGTTGCAATCTACCACAAACTTAATGGAACAGCGCTGATATTGTATGAGGAAGTTTGTGTTTGTATTTGAGAATTACTTTCTCCATCCTTTTGATAGCAAGGGTAAGCTTTGTGAACTTCCTTTGTGACTCATCCATCCCTTTAAGCGTGTCATTTCTCAGCCACTGAAGTCTCTCCAGCTAACAAAAACAAACACAGTGGCTCAATATTACATTAGTCATACTGGTCATACTGGTTGTCATCCATCCATCTTCTTCTGCTCATCCAGGCTTGTGGAATGGGGGCAGCAGTGTAAGCAAGAAAACTTGGACCTCCTTCTTCCCAGCCCCCTCCTCCAACTCTGGGGGAACATCGAGTAGTTCCCAAGCTGGTAGAGATGTGTAGTTTCTTCACTGTCTCCTGGATCTGCCTTGGGCCGTCTTCCCAGATCCGAACAAACTTTAATATTTTATATAGAATTACCTCAGTCTTGAGCTCCTCAATCTCCTCATCCTTGCTCTTGAGTTCAGCCTCTGTCTTCTGCAACTGCTCGAATATCTGCAGGATTTCATTCTGTTCATTCTCATCATGCAGCATCAGGACATCAGCTTTTATATCTTTACTCGGAGACTCATTGATAGGCATCTGCTTTTATTGACACATATGTGATTGAAAGAACAATTAAAAAGTCCTTTAATTTGTTATATGGAATTACCTGAGTCTTGAGCTCCTCAATCTCCTCATCCTTGCTCTTGAGTTCAGCTTGTGACTTCTATGTTTAAAAAGATCAGGAGGAAAAAAACAACATAAGAAATTGGTATACTAAATGTATATTTTGTTAGCATTGTTAACAAAATACAAATATTCTTGAATTGGTGAATCTCCAAGTGTAATCAGGTTGCAAAACAAATATGATTTTAAGTGATCTAGATCAAAAGCTGTACATTTTAATCCTAAAAGTGGTTTTTGCTTCTCTAAAAAAAGGTTTGGTACAGTGGTCATCAGCATCGATGGCCATTGCAGCTCATTTTCCATCGACTGATTTTTACCACTGAAAAACTGATAACTGTGTCTTCTGAATGAAAAAAAACAAATGTGTTTTTAATCAAAGAAGGTTGCATAAAACACTTGAAAAAACAATTATTTTTTTGTCAGATTGTTTTAATTTTTTTTAGTTAAGAGATCAGCTACTGATCAAATACGGCTGTGCACCCTCAGTATGTTAAAGACTTTTTTTATTGTTAAAAGACGATGTTTCCTTCCAACCATCACCATGTGCTCACCAACTGTTTACTTTATCTCCTGACATTCAAATGTAGTTCTTTAATTAAAAAGTACCATAACATGGTTGTCCTGAGTTAGTGTAATATAAGGTCACGTGTGCTGTAAGAGGTGATGTTGCTTACTTTGTTCCTCGTGGTGACAGCAAGGCCGAGGTTCAGTTGTGAAGAGGCCTCCTGCTTCTCTTTAAGCGTGTCAGGTGTCATCACCTCAGTTTTATCCAACTAACAAACAGAAGCACAGCTGAGAGGATCAATTATTCATTCATTTAGGTTAGCATACAGCTAAGCATGGACTAGATGACAACTGGGGAAACATCTGAGCTGGTTTCATGCATTTAGACCACTTCATTCATGCTCTCCAGCCTTGTCTTCAGAGTCTGCATCCTCACCTCATCATGCCCCCTGTGCTGCTCCTCACCCTGCAGCTGCTGCTGTCCCACAGCTACTTCCTCATCCACCTGAGATTAGAGAAAAAAATGTTGGAGCTTTTAAAATAAAGCTTCAAACTTTTGGAAGATTTAATTTGCAAAAATGTTACCCACAACATGGTTTGGTGAATTATTCTCCAGTGTCTGCAGGTTCTTCTCATCTCCTTCCTCAGTCTGGTGTTCATCACTGAGCTTCAGGGCTGCAGCTTCTTTTTCTTTTAACTTGGAAAAAAGTAGAACATTATGAAAAAGAAGCACGTTTTGGAGCGATTATCAGACATAAAGAATATTGTGTGTGTATGAAGGAAGTGCTCTAAAAGTGAAATTTCAGACTATTTACAGTCATTTAGCTTAACACAATAAAACTGCCAGCATTATATCATGGACACACTGTATGCATCCTTCTGATGGAGGATAAGAGTCTATATAGATCATAGAAAAACACCTAAAGCCAGAACATTTCATCATTTTTTTCTAAAATAAGAGGAAGATGAGCTACTGATCAAATATGGCTTTGCTCCCTCAGCATGCCTCTGTTGCACAGGTGCATAATCTCAATGGTAAATGTCGTCAAATGAAGTCAAATCTAATGGATTCTTTATTTTAATGACTTTGCTGAATTTAGAGATTGTATAATTATTGGCCACACAGATTCTGTGAAGGTGGTGTACTTGTTCACTGTAGTTGTACTTGCTATAAAATATTGTTTCATCAGTGGGGCTAATAAAGACTGAAACAAGCTGTCAAAAGTCAACAAAGCAGCAACTCTAAAAACTCATGTTTGCTTTACAATGAAGTCTCACTACGATAAGGTAAGATAACTCTTTACTGTCATTGCACAGTCATACATAGTACAATAGTAAAATGAAATTGGAAAACTGTCCAACGTCAGCACTAGATACAACACAACATGACACGATACCACACATCACAACACAACACAGTAACTTAACTAATAAAAAATGATGTGCGATACCACTGATTTCCTTTCCGATCCGATACCAAGTAAAATTCAGGGTGGTATCAGCAATACTGATCCGATACTCTGTACAAAAATGTAATGTTTCATTGCATTTCACAATACAATATATAATTGTATTATGTAATTGTAATAATAACATAACCATATTGCTTCATAATGATTAGAGGACATCAGACAACTTGTTTTTATTGCTTAATAATGCAGAATAATCATATAGAAA